ATATATATGAATTTGGACTAACATTCTCTCCCAATGTTACAAGAAAGCTTAGGATTTTTCAAAATAAGTTTATGCCATTATTATTCTTTCTTTAAGTGAGTATGTTTTATATATGTATAATAAAATCATTCATTTTTGGTACAAAGATGTCACAGTCAACTTAAATATGATATTAAGATAGGTGAGTTATACCATTATTCAAAGTCTACAAGAAATAATTTGAACTTCATGACATATTTCACAGCTCATTGCTATGATTGATCGTAACCTCCTCATACCACAAGCAAATGGTCTTGTACTATTTTCTTTTTCCTTTTTTTTTTTTTTTTGTGGGTAATTCAATAGGAAAGACAAGCCCCTACCCGTTTTTTCAAGTACATTAAGATCTAGCGTTTTTGAAATTATTAGTGTAAAAGTATTAACGGTAAAATTGAAAACCACAATGTGGTGATTAAGATGTGGGGTGCCACCACTACGACCAAGCCCCATTCCCTTTACGAGACTCAAGAATCTCCCTATGTTTAAAGGAGGCAGCCCCTGGGCAAGGATATAACTTCATGGAGGGACTCTCGTTTTGTTATAGTTCTATTAATGCTCCCTAATAACTGGAGGACTACTTTGTCCCAAAACTCAAAACAATTGAAAAGCCGTTATGAAATTTCAATGAACTCCCATTAAGATGACAAAAAAATGGTGTGGTCATGACCATATTATGATGACTATGATAAAAATCTCTAGAGTATGGTCGTGACGACATTACTGTGGATATGGTTGAACCAGGTCAATTTGGCCCCGAGACATATATTTCCAAGAGTTCATGACTAGTGATGAAAGTTTGGAGTACTCCTGCCTCCTGAGTGTCCATCCACCGACGGCCCAGATCCTCTTCCACAGCCTCGCAGCGAAATCCAGCCGTCCATAACAATCTCCAATGCAACGTGACCATGAAAGATGTCTTCACCTTAAATCTTCTCCTCAAAGAAGCCATTGCCCATGGCTGTCATCACAAAGCCTTTCAACTCATTAACCAGTTTCAAAGTTCAGGAGGTCGCCCTAATACTTATACCTTTCCACTTTTGGCAAAATCTTTAATTTCCAATTCTGCCCTTCCCTGTGCTCCATCTCTCCATTGTTTAGCTCTCAAACAAGGCTTGAGTTCTGATATATCAGTTGCCACCTCTTTTGTGGCCCTTTATGGCAAATTAGGATTTGTAAAAAGTGCACTAAGGGTGTTTGATGAGAGAGAAGAGAGAGATTTTGTTTTATTCACTGCTATGATCTCTGTTTACGTTGAAAATGGAGCTATTGATGAGGGTTTGAGATTGTTTGGGCGCTTGAATAAAGAGGGGTTGAGGCCTGGTGCAATTACCTTGGTTTCAGCTCTAATGGCGTGTATGAATATGTCTGAAAATCTATGGGGAAAAGGGGTTCATGGGTTCGGTTTAAAGATGGGTTTTGGACATGATTGCTGCTTCGGAGCTTGTCTTGTGAGCTTCTACTGTAAAATTCAGTGTTTTAGAGGTGCCCGTAATGTGTTTGATGGAGTTTATCATAGAGATGTTGCTTTGTGTAATGCAATGATTTCTGGGTTTGCACAGAGAGGGATGGATTTGGAGGCGTTTGGTTGTTTTAGAGAGATGAGAGAGAATAGTTTTAGAGTTAACGCGAACAGTTTCACTGGTTTACTAAAGGTTTGTGCTAATTCTGGTGCTAATTGGTTATCTGAGATGGTGCAATAGGTTCATAGTGTTTGTATTAAAGTTGGTCTTGACCATGAAATCATGGTTGCTACCTCTATTCTTGATGGCTATGGAAAACGTGGCTTATTAGGTTGTTCAAGCCTCATATTTGCTCAAATGCCTGTGAGAAGTATTGTTCATGGACTGCCATGATGGGAGCTTATGTGCATAATGGACATAGCCATCATGCATTAAAGCTATTGCATCAGATGCAAATTGAGGGTGTTAAGCCTGATATGGCAGCTCTAGTCTGTGCATTATCGGCTTGTGGGCATTTGGGAAGCCTAAAGCATGGATCATGCATCCACGGATATATCATAAGGAATTTTTGTGAAATTGGACATGTGGGGATGACGATCATCATCGACATGTATGCCAAGTGTGGCAGCTTGGCTTCTTCTTACGCTTGCTTTGATGGCATGGCATGTAAGAATTTGCATGCATGGAGTTCAATGATTCGAGGTTACGGCATGCATGGCCATGCCATAGAAGCCATGCATCTTTTTGATGAGATGTTAATGAATGGTGTAAAACCTGATGGGGTCATCTTCTTATCGGTCCTATCAGCTTGTAGCCATGGAGGCTTGGTGGAGGAAGGTAAGCATTATTTCCATGTCATGACCCGTGACCATGGCATCGAGCCTAATGAGAAGCACTATGCATGCATGGTTGACCTCTTGAGCAGAGCTGGTAGGCTTGATGAGGCTCATGGTCTTTTGATGACCATGCCCATGCAGAAGAGCATGGCCATGACAAAAAGCATGGGTGCAAGTGCTTAAGGGGCATTGCTTGGTGCATGCCAAACTTATAATGCCTTAGGCTGGGGTGAATCAGTTGCTAAGCATCTCATCAATAATAGGCTAGAAGATGAAGGTGCTCATATCCTGGTATCAAATATTTATGCATCAAGGGGGGTAATGGTGTGAATCCATGAAAGCAAGAATGGTTATGATTGATAGAAATTTCAACGAGGAACCAGGATTCAGTTCAATTGAAGTAAATTGCCATGCATGATCTTCATCCGGATCTGGCCCCGATCCAACCCGTTCTCACCCCTAGTACAACGTTAGGGCATTTACGTAAGGAACTCAAGATGGATGATTGCTAAACATGATGAAACTCAATTCTGGTTCCATGAATAGTTGGGAGATGTATCATTGAAACTTAGATTCCCTTATCTCTTCGTAGTGGTGGATAATAGATATGTCAAGGTCTGTGAAGTGGCTACAGGAACAGGAACCGAGGTCTTTTGGAATACCTATTGCAAATATAATAGGGTTCAGGAAGTCGCAGTTAACTTACATCGTAATTATATAGGTTGAAGAATTTTTTTGTCTCAACGGAATTTGATGATAAGGCTATATGGGAGCAAGAAACAGGTGGATTAAATACATGTTGTTGTTTCTTCTCTTCATAAAATTACTCTTTGTGCCTGGTAAGTAAGGGAAAGGTGTTAACAGTGAACCACTAAAGGAAAGGGGATTAGTTCTCGTCGATCTTTTCTTTTAACTGTAAAAACAATGAGGAAGATGGAGATCATCTATTTCTGAATTGTCCTTTCTCGCAACATATTTGAAGTTAAGCTTTGAATAACATGGTGTTTTCATCAACTTGCCTGAAAGGTATTCTGACTCCATTGATCATTTAAATCTTCCAAATCTAACAAGGAATGGGGAAATCATTTCAAGGCCTTTAGACTGACCATTTTGTGAGAGATTTTGATATAATAGAGCATAAGAAATTTTAATGGCAAGGTGTTAGAGGTAGGTCAGATAAAAAAACAAATATATGGAGACACTGGTGGTGTTTCTTTCAATTCGGATAACGTTATAAAATTGGGTGTATCAAATACGATATAGTATGAAGATGGAATCTATGTCCATGTGGTTCTTTGAAACTCAATTTTGATGGGAGTTCATTTAGAAAATAATAAGAGATCACCTACTGTTCTTTCTTTCGTAGCTCCATGTCGTAATGTAATTGCTAATGAGGTTGAATTGAGCATGGTTTACAACGATTGATTCTATTTGGAAAATTAATGGATGTCGACTCTTTGTTAGGAGAGGGAGCCTCGTTATTTTATGGTTTTGAGAGTGAACAGAAAACTCCTTGAAAACTAATCACTTCGGATGTGAGATTTAGATCTCATGAATAATTGGGGTCGTATCTTTACATGACAAGTGGAGCTTGAAAGCTAAAAGTTGGCCTGAACTTTATTATTAAGTAATGGAAATAAAAACATTTACAAGAGAAGTCTAAAATATGCCACTTAAAATGGAGAAAATTACCTTTACAAAACAAGTTTTATGCAAAATGATTAGCCTATTTCTCATCCCCTTTGCGACATTTTCATATGATTAAAATGAGTGTTTCATTTTGATCGAGCTCTCATTGAAAGCATTAACAACTGGCACGTACAACATGCTCCAGCATGAGCATAGTTATACTTTTAACTCTTTGGAAAAGAACTAGCTTGGATTTTTTTGATATGCTGTTTCGGGATCCTGATTACTTTTCAAAAAAAAAACAATAATAATTGAATTTTGAGTTCTAGATCTTGCCCTTCAGGCAATCCCTATTCAATCTTAAGACAATGTTCTTTTTAAAGTATATAGAGAGCAAAATTGTTTTTTTTTTCCTCTTTTTTTTTTTGTGATATTGGTATGTAAAAGAAAAATATGAAAATTTATGGCAGTGTATAGCCTTTAATATAGAGCAAACTAGCGGATCAGAATTCGTCTATCATACTTCAATTAATTAAAAAAAAACATTGATGACGATTTGCTAAATTTAATAAGTCACATCTCAAAACTTAGGATCCTAGAACATACAATAATTCTATCCCACAAGACCATACCATAATCATAGGATCAAGGGTCCTTCCCAAATAGGACACTGCTCTGCCTTAGAAGTGTCATAAGGCAAGCCAACCCATCACAACAGACACCATGTTCATCAACGAGACTCCGGCAAGGCAACCCATCACAACAGACACCACGTTCGTCAATGAGACTCCTACGATCAACATGTCACAACAGACACCACGTTCGTCAATGAGACTCCTACGATCAACATGAGAGAGGAGTTAGAGAGAGAAAGGTCTTACGATTAACATATAGAGAGGAGTTAGAGAGAGAATATAAGAGGATGTTGATAGTAGGAGTTAGAGAGAGAAGGGTCATAGGATTAACACATAAGAGAGAGGAGAGGACATGAGAGACAAGGGTTCGAGAGAAAAGGGGGGGGAGGGTTTTAGAGAGAGAAAAAGGTGTGAGAGGATGGTTTTTAGAGAGAGGAAAAGGTGTGAGTGGAGGGTTTTTAGAGAGAAAAAAGTGTGAGAGAAGGGTTTTTAGAGAGAGAAAAGAGTCGTACGATTAACATGAACGAGGTCTTAGAGAGAGAGAGAAGAGAAGGAAGGGTTACCAGAGAGAGAGGTCCTACGACTAACAAGAAAGGGCTAGAAAGAGGAGAGAAGCGTGGGTTAGAGAGAGAAAAATAGAAGAGAGTAGAGAGAAAATGAATTAATATTAGAGGGGAGAGAGAGGGAGAGAGAGACCACGGAAAAGTCTCCCAAGTTTAGAGTTTGATTTGATAGGGGTGCGCCATGCCCGTGCAGTAGTGCAACGCATGGGCGACGCCCGAAGGACCGACTAGCAAGCTAGTGCGGTGGCCCCTCCCCCACTGAAAAATTAATTTAATATCGTGTGGTCCTATGGACCACGTATCAGATATTAAACTGATAAGAACAGATACTACACTTGATCTTAGCCAAAAGGCCGAGAAAGGTATGCTTTAGAATGTCTTTGCTGTATGGTTTTATAGCCCCTATGTATCCCGAAACTTCCCCAACCGTCAATGTGGGATTAAAATCATAACAGTCATGCCTCTCTCCATCAATAATAACAACAGTTATACCTCTTTCTCCATGAATAATAACTAGTATTGTAGTGCACAAAAGTTTGCACAATCTCATTCAATAAAATAATATATGAAAATAAAGTCCAATAAAACACATGTATGATATTATCATGCATTAATAAAGTAATTTAATAAAAATCTAAGTGGAATTATAAATAATTAACAATACACAATAATACTAAAATAAATAATTTGTAAAATTTGTGATAAATAATTAATAATAACATGTAAAGCTAATAGATGAAAGTATTATGCATGCTCTTTACCATTGTTGTTAATAAATTCATTATTTAGAAAATGTCAATTTTTAGAAAGTTTAATTGGGAATAATTTCTTATGTGACCTGGTTGAGTCATCAAAGACAAATATAACCTGGTTGAGTCATCAAAGACAAACAAATAGATGCCTTGAGGGGATTTATCTATTAGTAACTTATAATATTTCATAATGTATTAATACACAATAGGTAAGCTATTGAGATGAGAAAAATTACAAAGATTTTCAATACTAAAACAACATCTTTCAACATTATTTGATTGTTCACCTTACTTTATTGTTTAGTGCCTAAGCTTTATACAAGCCACACCCATGAGACAATTACATTAATATAGATCAAGCCTAAATGCTTCCAAAAAAATAAAATAATTGATAATAATTAATAGAACGCACTTTTTTATAATTTAAAAGTCTATAAGAAAATGGATTAATGGGCCATGAATGAAATTAAAAACTATTACAATCCATAAATTAAAAAAACAAAAATTTTGAAACTAATTTTATATTTAAATATATATATATATATATATATATATATTCAAAATATTAAAAACGGAAAATTTTTCAAAATATAAACAATACAAAATTTTAATTTGGAAAATAAAAAATTTATCTGTAAATAATTTTGAATCATAAAACTTTACACTTAATTATATAATTTTTTTGGAAAAAAACGGAAACAGGCTACAAGCCTTTTTCCTTTTGGGTTAAGAATAACATAGTCTAATTTTTTGAAATATTGAAAAATGTTAACAAATAATTAGTCCTTATTATTTTAGATAGCGAAAGTTTTATAAATTTAAAAATAAAATTTTATAAAGCGGATTTGCCATTTTGAAAATTTTGTAATGTTTTGTAAAATATCAAATGCCATGTAACACCTAAATAAATTTTTAAATTTTAAAATTACAAGAAAAATGCTAGTCCTTTAAAATTTGAGTAAACAACAGATTTCTCAAGGCAGCATAGAAGTCATGCAAAAGCCACCTAGGAAAATGCAAATAAAAAGAAAGGAAAAGCAAATCATCGGTAATAATATAAAATAGTAAATAGCAAGTTGACTTTTATTGAAAAATAGAAAAGGTATGAATTACATGTATAACAATTCAACAAATTCATCATAAATTTTGAATACATTTATAAAAAATATGTCATTTATTTAGCTTTCCAAACATGCCTGTTACATGTAAAGGAAAAGTTAAAAAAGGCAAAAAGAAGAAAAACCATTTACTTACTCGACAAAAGTTTTCATGACATTGGGAAAGAAGAAACGGTAAATTAATCATTGACTAAAATAGAAAAAAATAGTTTGAATTGCATGCTTATAAATTTCACCATAAATTTTAATACAAATCTAAAAGAAAATCAATCTACTAGATTTCTAATAATGTAAAGAAAAGGATGGATAAGAATAAAACATACCTTATTTGAATATTGACATTGGATAGAACGAGAGATCACCCAATTACCCAAATAAGTAAGCACCCCACTTATACAATATAATATAGAAGAAAGGAAGAGAAGATAAAACATGATAAAATCAATCTATAATATATACAAATATTGTTGAAAAAGAAAGAAATAACAAATATATATTGAGAATTCCATATGGTCGCTTTAATATAGACCGAAGAGTGAACGACGCAGTTAAACAAGGTTTAGTGCTGCATAACATAATATAAAGTTGTATCTCATAGCACCACTAGAAAATGCAGTTTCAGCATTGGAACGCCTACGATGACAATGAAAATCTATTTGTTGATCTGATTATGAAATTTGAAGTTCAAAAAATAATACAAATCTAATTGTTTATTTTAACATTTGAAAATAGACTGTTAATGTGTTACAAGATGAATCTTTTTCAAAAGTTGTAAAATCTATTCTTTTCCATGAGATTGAAATGTTGAAACCATCATATTGATGCTTTTGTCTGCCAAAACAATTTCCAGTGAGATTGACGCATGGTGAGTGCCACTCTCCCCCGTACCTTCCATCAATTGTTTTTAGCCATGACACTTCCAAACTGATCGGCCATCCTAAAGATCGGTTTGTATAAACTAGTAGCCGATCTGGATTGAAGAATTACACCGATTCTTCAAAACCAATCCATCAAGAAAATAACAACTAGAAAACAATAAATAATAAAATTAAGACAGGTGGGAATTAGGTGATCTGACCCATCCAGACACCCCCATTCCTTGACAAACTTGCACACCCCCATTCCTTGACAAACTTGCCTAGTTCCTTACGGAACGAGCGAGTTTACAAAAACCAAACCACTCATAATTCCAGCATGGATCAGTCCAACTCCAAACCCATTCTCAGTATTAATCGAAGATTCCTAATCCAGACCGCCAGATTTTATAATAATGGTTCTAATTATTCTCAAACTTGATAGTTTCATACTATACTTCCATTGATGTCAGGCAACGGTCCAGATCTGCCCATCACTGTTTAAGCGTAATTTCGAAAATTTGCAGAACATCTAATGTCAAAGAATTGAGATATTGGTGCAATTTTCGTAGTTTCAAAGTGACTTCTGAGACTGAAAGTCCCCCACCACTACTGACCTTTTGAAATGGAAATGGGAAAATCAGAGGGAGACATTTCCCTCGTACTTCGGGCACTTTCTCTCTCTAGGGTCCTCATTCTCTCTCGACAACTTCTTCTCTCTAACCTCGACCTTCTCCACATACGATTTTCTCGCTCGAATGCTCAATTTTGCTCTCCATTGCCGAGCTTAAACCTTAAAAAGATGCCCAATCTGCCAAAATACCATTAACCATGGCTAACTGCTCTGTTCTTGGTGGATGCCCAAGCGATTACATAGCCATTGCCATTTCCATCCTCTGCATGATCCTGTAAACCTTCCTTTTACTCCTCCATTATTGTTTGATTTCTTTACTTCTTTCCCTTTAATTGGAGGATTTCTTTCTTTTTGGAGAATGTGGGGAACTGGTTTCTGATTTACTTGTTGTCAGTGGCTTCAAATTTTTGGGTTACTTCTATAGCTGGTAACAAAACCCATAACTTTTTCATTGATTTTGTTTATGAGTGTGTGATTTTAGGTAGGGGGTTTGAGATGCATATCCTGCTTTAGATGAAGTTTTTTTTGAAGAAAAGCTTTAGATAAAGTTCAACCTGAAATATATGGTGAATTGAAAAACCTATAATTGGGTTTCATACATTGTGATGAATAATCTGTGAGAGAATAACTTCAACCTGAAATATATGGAAAAGTCTCTCTCCCTCTCTCATTCTCTTTCGCTCACTTACTCTTCCACTATGTCTATCTCCTCTCACTATACACAAAGACAAACAATTTAATGTCCACAATTGAATAAACGAAAATGGTTTGATAGGGCTGCAGCCCTATCAAAATAAGTAAAGCTTTACAATTCAAGAATTTAAAAACCTTTACATGGATCATCGTGGCTTGAACATTATGGTTGTAAAAAAAAAATGATTTCAAGCTTTAAAAATAGGGTAGATTGTAACAAATTATCCAGACCGTTCATTTCGCCTTGTAAGTAAGTGTTCATAGGTCCGCAAGATCTGTACCATTTTTTGAGCTTCAAATTTCATTATGGTGTTAGAAATTGATTTTAGAGCCTTCATGGAGATTTCCGTTGCCAAAAGTGATTCCAGATGAGGATTTGAGGTATGGATTTATTTTGTTTTCATAAAGCCTAGACATTATACAAACCTCATCCTTGAATAAATGATAGATATTTCGAAACCCCTGGTCAATAGACACGGAAAAAACAAATTTTATATGTGTGCATTTGTATTTGTGTGCATAGGTAGATGTGATTTATCCTAATTCACATTTATTATTCATTTAGTTATTGTGAGTGAAATTGTGCTTTAAGCAATTATTGGGTCCCGGTGTTGTATGTACCTTTGGTCCAAGTGTTGATTTTCATGGCCTGATCATTAATTCCCTTGATTGAACTTGTTGGTTCAAGACCTTCCATGAGTCTTGTGGGGGGTTGCCTTGCAGTTTCACAGTTTATATATATCATTGGAGGGATTGGGGCTGATTTGTGATGAATGCATTAACTGAAACTTTCCTAGGAGTGTGATCTGGATTTAGTATCTGGATATTATTGGGCGCCATGGGTAACATGTCTTGGCTATTCTATGTTGGAATCAATGTTTTACAACTTGAAGAGTCTGAGTTGGACACAGACTAGTCGCTGGGGCCTGGGTCTGAGCGAAAAACCTTGGGAATTGGTTGAGTTTCACTGGTTTATTTTTTCGTTCTGCCTTTTAAGACTCATCCATATCTGACTTACTGTCTTGGATTGAACCCTTGCCTGGTTCCAGACTTGAGTCTAAGTTTAAAAAATTTGTTGGAATCAATGGCAAGAACTGTAAGTTGACATATCCGGAAGAATGTTGCAAAATGGAAGCCTCATAGATAAACAGTGGGAAGAAATTTACCAAATTGTATACTGAGTATGAAGCATAGCTTACTGACTTCGTCATGCCTTTGAATTCTTGATTGAGCCAATACAACTTAACAGGTCATCAGATTCACGCAATAACCAACCCTGAAAATGGAGCAAAAATTCACAATTTGATTGGGAGACTTAACCAGGGATGACTGAAGTAATTGCTTAATCAACTTTACCAAGTCTTTGATCAATTCAAAATACACAGCAGAGACTTAGAACTTTGAGTCTGTGCATTTAGGGAGGCATTTCTTTTGTTCTATGTCATCACTTTGGGCCAGTTGAGCCATTATATTTGGTCCGGTTTGGGCAGACGTCACTTGGGTATTTCCATCACTCTGATGCTTTTACTAGAGCAGTGGAAGTGTCTATTTGTTCTGCTCCAGTTTAACAGGAGCAAGACCCGATTCTCTGTCTTGCTTACTCATAGTTTTCTTGGGATGTTTTTTATTTACCCTGTCTCCCCATAGTTTTGTTGTGCAAATTTCCGTGCATGAAAGCTGCTGAGCATCTGAATGCTGGTATATGTTGGGCTATGGGGATTGACTGGTGTGTTGTCCCAATGTCTTGAAAAAAAGGGAAAAACCGAAAAAGAAAGAAAAAAGCATTCTCTGCATACTGGTAGCTTTTCTTTTGTGATCATTGTAAGCAACTGGATGTCCTAGGATTTGGGCAATGGTATGTAATTGGTAACATCTGGCAAATGCCTGCTGAGCATCTGAATGCTGGTATATGTTGGGTTATGGGGATTGACTAATGTGTTGTCCCAATGCCTTCCCTAGTTGAGAGTATATATACACACACACACACATATATATGTAATGCATTCTCTGCATGCTGGTAGCTTTTCTTGTGATCATTGTAAGCAACTGGATGTCCTAGGATTTGGGAATGGTATGTAATCGGTAACATCTGGGCCTTTTTTGCAGGCTTTTTGCACGAGCTGCTTTTCCTTATGCAGTTCACAAGCCTCCTAAGTTGATAGGAAGCAACTTCATACTTTTGTTTGTCCAAATCCTTGCCAGCTTCTGTCTTCTATTGTCCTTAGTGGTATGATTAATTGATACTTAACATATCAAACTTTTCTTTTCAAACCCTATGAAAGTGTCGAATTTTTAGACATGTTAGTGAGAGATATCCTAATCCATGCAGATGTCTGTACAATTTTTTAAATTCAAGCGAAAGCATCCATGGCAATCGTGCTATATTTGGGCAGGTATATATACCTTTGTAATCTAGTTTGCTATAAACTATATTTAGCCTCAAGATTGGAAGGAACGTTTTTGCCTTATTTTAATGTATTCGTATGATTTTTATTATTGGATTATGTTTGGATTGAATTATCAGTCTGGGGTGAGGGTCCCTGTGGATTTGGCTTGTTGCTGAGCTGCCGCATTTTACAGGCTTACCACTTATACTATCTGTTTGTAAAGTAAGTGATTCTTTTAGTCATCCGATTGTTAGGAATAAACCCCTCAGAGTATGCCACTTTAAGATGGTGTACTCCGTTATATATTTCTAGCTAATTGGGCAGTTCAAATGAAAACAACTTGAGATGGTTTGGGTATTTATGACAGATAATATTGTTGCTGCATTTTCTCTTTTGATATTATAGGAGGCGTCTACCACCATTGAATTCACGTATCTTACTTCCATTGATCCTCTTGCCATGGATTGCTGCTGCTGCCTGTAAGATTTATTTCAATAACATACTCTTGATGTCCAAGTATATTTATTTTGACTGTGCTGTCTTGTTCATGATGATCTTTATACTTATGTTTATACAATCTCATGCATACTTTATGTTTTTTTGGTATGTCACAGCAGAATCTTTTTCCAATGACATTGTTTATGTCTTTAAAAAGCTAAGTGGTTATCCATCAATTCTTTAAAAAACCTAATAGATTGTCCTTTCAGCTCTTCCCATAATTAATAGTCTTTAGAGTCAGAGATTCTCTATAGATAATTATTCATCTAATCTGAAGTTCTGTCCTATTAATCAATTAAAGCCTTTAAGCCATGGATGATAATTTTGACTTTATGGGTCCAACAAAAGGTTACTGGAGGATATTGGAGCCTCTTAGCCAGGAATGACAATTTTGATTGTGTTCACCATCTCACCAAAGATAAGATGTTGTGTGGTCCGCTAAGTTCTATTCTCAAATTATTTTTTTATTGCCAGAAATACTTCACATTGAAATAATACCGTGTAACATATGCAAAACAAAATTATATATAATATATGATTCATATTGAATAATTTGTAATAATCTATTTCTATGTGGGTTATAATAAGGAAATGTATGCAATTAGACTATTTACTTTTGATACAAGGAGGTCACAATTATTAATAACCATTGGATGTGAAATTAGGTGGTGAAGGATGTGTCATTGATTGAGTACAAAGTCCAAGATGAAATTTCTCGAATGTTGTAACCCACTTCAATCGATTGGATTTCACATTCAATGGTTAAAAATGATTGTGACCTCCTTGTAACAATAATTTATGGTCTCATAGTATATAATCTCTTCTAATAATATGTCTTATTGAATTTGAGTTCTATTAGCCCAAGGCTTAAATACTCTACTCAGGCTTGTGACTCAGCCCCTGCCCATGGCCGAGTAACTCAGGGCTAGTCTCAATGGACTCGCCCAACTAGTGTACAGGCATGAAAAGTCCTTTAAAAGAATTTCTTTTAAAAAAAGCATAATAAAAATAAAAATCCCAAAAATAAAAATTCCAAAAATAGAAAAATAAAAGGAAATAATAGATCTTGTTTTTTTTTGGGGTGTGTGTGTGTGTGTGGGAGAGAGAGAGAGAGAGAGAGAGAGAGAGAGAGAGAGAGAGAGGAGGGACGGGAGTAGTACTTACTACTACGTAGAGTAGAGAGAGAGAGAGTAGAAGTAAGTAGTACGTACGTATACTAACTAACGTAGTACGGTAGGTAGTACGTACGTAGTCGGTACGTA